TCATGCTTGACTTTGTCTTCAGTTTGATCATGCCTTTCTTCAACACAATCAAAGCCAAAATAGAAGAATATAATTTCCAGTTTGCTTGTTATCTAAATTAAATTGCTGAAACTCTTTGACGCAGATTTGTACTATCTATTAAGAATAAAGTTCACACTTGGTCGGATATATATCATGCACTGACCAGAAATTGTGCTCCTGGCTAAGGAATGGGAAGCAGAACATGAAAAGTAAATAGGGAAAGAATGAAAACGAACAACAGCTTTACAGAAACCTTTGCCAAAATTGTTTTTCAATGAATCTATAACCCAGAGGATATATGTTTAAAAAAACTTTCACTCATAGCGTCAAATATAGCTAATGTAATAGTTAGATAGGACTCAATATGACGTACATGGTCGATTGAGGACAGTAAACGTTTGCGTATCCAGTCTCTTATTTTATAATATATCGCCTGCCAACTTCTCAAGTTCATCCAGGTGCCAAATGGTCAACTTTGCGCCTCAAGCAGCTTTTTCAATCCTTCCACAAATTCATTTGGTTGAGGCTTCTTATTTTGATACGTCCGCAACACCAATTAAGGGGATTATCAGCAATAAAACCTTGGCACGAATCATATTCATTTTGGAAACTGTTCAAGCATCAAAGCGTTGGTGCTTCAATATCTCTTAAATATTCACTAACTCGCTGCTATAGCATGAGTGCATGTACGGTTAATTAAAGGGTTGGTCAGTTATTAGTGCGAATCCCGATGACAAATCAGAATAGTACTTGCTAATCGCATAGAGCGACTTTATTTGCCTTTTTACAAGTAATATGTATGTGCTTGGAAGATCCTGACTTTTCGTTGAGTTGCTTATTCGTCAGATTTGCATTTTCTTCTAATGGTGGCGCACTCCCAAAAATATAGGCACGAAACTTTGAAATGAAGAGATGTTTTGATTTGCAGTGAAACCAAACAAAGTTGAATAAAAGAGTTGCGTAAATAAATGGATGAGGCTAGGAAGATCCGAGTCCTGATGGATAGTACGTGTTCTGCTAAGCACTTCCTTCATCCCACAATATGATTTACGCATCAAATAAGTGATCTCTTGAAGTGCCTATATGCTTAAATGTAGGGTCGAACTCGATAAACAAAAACAGTGGAAACGCTTATGATGTTTAGTTTATCATAGATGTAATTATGAGACCACAGGATAAATGAATATGCAAGTCGACTTACTAATAGAATTGATGCATCATCGACACATCAATGCTTCATCTTTCCATATGTTCTGAAATCTCTGAAAATTACTTCGGTATTATATGGTTGAGTCAAAGGTTACTAACAAATTTACTCATTTTTTAAACGTTTTACCTATTATTTTTTTTACAGACCTCCTCACTTACATACTTGTTGTAGACAACCACTTGTCTCCAACTTCAAGGACTTATCGATCCTTTTCTACAGGATGCACTGGCGAATCTAGAAATCTCAGACTCGGCTCCGAATTTTACTTAATTACTGAGTTTCTCTATAGCACTTATGTTACTTGATAGCCTATAGTAAATGATAGTCATTGGCGCTGGGCTTAAAGAAAACGGTGACTCAAACAGAAATTCTAAGCACGATCGGAGATAACACCACCGTTGCGGTATTTCTGAAAAATTGCTTCGGTCAATTCCTAGATATTCAAAGCATAGACTCGATTGCTAACTTAGTGTACATATTGAGAAATTCTTATCCTAGAGCCCTCAACAACAGCCGCTTTATCTAAAAAATCAACTTTTGGCTTCTTTAGCGGCAGTTCCTCATACACATACTCGATAAAATGGCCTATCTCCACTTGTCCTGCAGGCCACAGCACTGTTTCTATCTGTTTCTGTCTCTCGCCAGCGTTATCCACGACGCTGGTATTGGACTGCGGCGACGACGTTCGCGAGGTTCAGATCCATTGCTCGTTACCAGCTCAAAAATCAGCTGGTCCATCCGTGCAACGAACACGCCAGCCCATCTGTTCGGTGGCCTCCCTCGAGGACGTTTTGCTTCGGGAATCCATACCAGAGTTCTTGATGTCCACTGTCGT